TCTTAGTGTGCGCCGACACGGCCATCCTGACCATTACACGACCTCGGCAATTTTACCAAAAATGCTTTGTTACCATTCAACACCTTATAAAAGTTTATTCAAATATAATTTTTAATTTATCATCTAAATCTATTATTTTCATTACAAATAACATCTTCCTATTGATACAGCTCATTTTTACATTATCATTAACCACTCAGGTTTCTCAAAATATTATCTAATGCGCCACACGCCATGATCAAAACAATTGTTTTGCACTTGTGCTTACATTATTATAACAGATTTTATTATTAACTCTTAAAAACAAATGTACTGTCTCTTTCAACAGTTTATCTTTACATTATTTCAGTACTGTCTCTTTCAACAGTTTATTTTTACATTATTCAGTACTGTCTCTTTCAACAGTGTCCTTTTCAACTACTTCGTTACTGTCTCTTTCAACAGTTTCTGATTCAACTCATTTTCTTTATTACTGTCTCTTTCAACAGTTTATTTTTACATTATTTCAGTACTGTCTCTTTCAACAGTGTCTTTTTCAACTACTACATTACTGTCTCTTTCAACAGTTTCTGATTCAACTTTTTTATTACTGTCTCTTTCAACAGTTTCAGTTTCAATTACATTTAAATCCTTATTACAACTTTCAAATTCAACTGGTATTTGAGCATTTGGCATTTTTCTTATGTCATCATGAGCATATTTATATTTTCTATTATTTGTCAAAGACCTGAGCATATACCTATCCCCCTCTAATAGTTCAGTTATTTGAAACGGCCCCCTAAACTTTGGACTTAACTTTGTCTGATGCCTTTCTTCATTCTTTAACAATACGAAATCTCCAACCTTGCATCCAACAATTTTAGCCTTGTTTTTATCAAATTGCTCCTTGTTATATGTTGCTGCAGCTGAAATATTTTGACCTGCGCGTGTTCTTACTTCTGCCAAGTCGACCTCTTCTACCATATCGCAGGGTGGAAGCAACCCCAACGGGCGAGCAACTTTGCCGATAAACAATTCCAAGGGGCTTGCTTTTGTCACTCGACTAACCGTACAGTTTAAGGCTAATTGAACTTCTCCTAATGCATCTTGCCAAGATCGATTGCTAGTTTCAACGGCCGTTAATAAATTCTTTAAGGTGCTCATAATGCGTTCAACTTGACCATTAGCCCTACTTGCACCTGTCGCAATCAAATGTAAATTAATTTTTTGTTGTGAACAAAACTCACTAAATCTAGTACTGGCGAAACATCTGCCCTGATCCGCTATTATGCGATTTGGTACTCCAAATAGAGAAATAGCGGACGTGACAGCATTTATGCAATTTTCGGCATCAATTTTAAGCGAATGGGTTAAATAAACAAATTTAGTGAAAGCGTCCACCTGAACAATGATATATTCCTTCTGATCAGACTTCCCACTCAACTTTCCAGTTATGTCAATGTGAATTGTGTGCCAAGGTGTATTTACTTTTGGTATTGGATGAAGACTTACTTGAACTTTACCCGAAGAAGACTTCGACATTTTACATGTAATGCAGTTATCAACAAACTTCCGAATATACTTGGACATATTATCGAACCAGTAATAATCATAGGCCTTATCTAAAGTCTTCTCCCATCCCAAATGCATGATGGACTCATGAACTTGATTTATTACGGACCATCTAAATGGTCGAGGAACAATTGATAAGGTTCGAGTTCTACCATTTCGCTGAATTTTTCGATAAAGTATTCCTGCTCTCAATTCGTAAGTTTTAGCAATGTCCTCAGCAAGAGAATTTTCTTTCAATTTATTTACAATATTAACTATTTCCGAATCTTGACGCTGTTCGGCCAAAAGCCAATTGTCAGATATTTCCGCCAAATTTACTCGTTTTTCTAGAGTTTTGCAAGTCAATTCTGCTGAAGGCGGATTTCTTGAAAAGAAGTCAACATGAGACATTCGTTTGCCTTCTTTATATTGTATGTCAAATGTAAAGGACTGTAAATACGCCCACCATCTTTCTACCCTGGGACATAGATCCTTTTTAGTTCTTGATGCTTTAAGTGAGTTACAATCAGTGAAGACAACAAAATTTCTACCCAATAGATAATGGCGAAAATGTTTTATAGACAAAACAACAGCAAGAGTTTCTAACTCATAAGAATGATACCGTGATTCAGCCGGAGAAGCAGCCTTACTAAAATATTCAATGACATGAGACTTGTTATTGATTTTGTGTAACAAGATGGCACCGTATCCCCGAGAACTTGCATCAGTATGCAATTCGATCGGATGGTTCGGATCAAAAATTACTAAAACTGGCTTTTGTGTAAGGATAGAAATAACTTTTTGTCTAATTTCTTCATGTTCCGATTTCCAAACAAAATCATTCTTCTCCGAAGTCAAAAAATATAACGGTTTCATAAAACAGGAAAATCCTTGCATAAATTGCCTGAAGTAAGACGCTAATCCAATAAATTGGCGTAAAGCAGATACTGTCTTAGGAGGTGGCAAGGTAGTTAACGCTGTAACTTTATGCGAATTCGGGCGGATTTCACCTGCACTCACTTCATACCCCAGATATTGAACTGTTGACTTGAGAAAAGAACATTTTTTTACATTGAATGAGAATCCAGCCTCCGTGAGACAATTAAGAGTAATTTGCAACCTTTCCAAAGCCTCACTTTTTGTTGCAGCAGCCACCATTACGTCATCCATATAAACGACAACAAACGTATTTGCAAGGTCTCCAAGAGCTTGCATGACTGTGCGTTGAAATACTGAAGGTGCGTTTCTGAGCCCAAAAGGCATTGCCAAAAATTCATATTGCCCGTCTGGTGTGACAAATGCTGTACACTCTACCGATTCTTTGTGCATGGGAATTTGATAATACCCACTTGCCATGTCTAAACATGTAAAATATTTTGCTCCATAAAGTCTGGCTATCTGATCTGATATAAGTGGCAAGGGATACCTATCTGCGACTGTATTAGAATTTAATTCGCGGTAATCAACACACAAACGATGAGTGCCGTCTTTTTTGTTAACCAACATTATGGGACTGGCGTAAGGTGAGCAACTTGGTTTTATGATTTTATGTTGTAATAATTCCTTAATCTTGTCTCGTACCAATTCTCTTTCATTTGGGCTAAGCCTATATGGTCTTCTTTGAACAATTTTTCTTTGATCTACTAATTTTATTTTCATTTCACCCGAACTAACTCTAGACGACGGAATTCCATTAATAAAAGCTTTTGAATATTTTTCTAATATATCTTGTAATTTATCTCTATCTTCTCCCACAAGATCGGTATTTAATTCACAAAATTTCTCATCATTTGAACAATAATTTACAGTTTTTGATCTAACAATTTCAAATTTTCCTGGTGATATTATAACATTAAATCCAGGATACAGTACTTCTCGACCAATAACAATATCATTCTTCAAATACTCATTGTCCAAAACATGAAACAAAACTTCAATACAGTGTTGGTTAATTTTTACGTTGCTAAGTATTTGTAATGTGCTACATATGCCACCACTACCAATACCCTTCAACATCACTACATTGTTAATTCTTTTACCAACTAATTTGACACTTATCTTCTGCTTAATCAATGAGCATTCCGATCCAGAATCGAAAGTTGTTATGAACGTCTCGCCTTGATGAACCATCTCTCCTTTGGGCTCAACCACTTCGCATAGCTCCACTCTTTTCATCTGGTGTGTATCCTTGTGTTTATCCATCTTGAACTTATTGCAATGTGTTGAAATATGGCCAAGTTCACCACACTTAAAACAGGTTATGTTCACTTTTTTATGGTGAGCAAGTGCGCTCCTGTCGCTATTGTTCCAGAATGTTCCGTGAGACGAAGGATGATTTTGCTGCTGTTTAACTCGACATTCCATCATTTTGTGGCCTAATTTTCCACAAAAATGGCACTTGATTGTTGAAAGTTTCGGACGCTTTACGTCAGCTGAAGATATTTCCTCTTGCAAAGTTTTCTTTCTTTTGTTGAACGTGAATGCTTTAAGCTCGGTTTGCAACTCACTTCTGGTGCGCATATTTGAAGTAAAGGTAAGGCGCTGCAATCTGTTATCAACATGAGCCATCTTGGCAAGCGTTACCGAAACTGCAATTTCCTCCACATTCATGTCTCGCCATTTTGTGAGAAGTGTCGTCATCATACGGCTAGCATAATTAGAGAGACATTCGCCATCGGCCGGAGAATTAGCTAACATTGACAGAAACATAGCCACTGGCGTTTCTACACTGCCAAAACGCTGCATGAAGAGTTCTTTAAATTCGTCCCATGTTATGTCAGGATAACATGTTTGTGCAAGCTACTGCGACGCACTACCTTCCAACGATGCACTCAAGGCCATCACCAACGCGCTGCCTTTTATGGTATTTTCTGTCAAAATTATATTCACTGTAGAACACCACGCCGATGCGTCAGCGCCATCAAGATCCGCGTTGAATTTTGGTAGCACAATTGTTTTTTTATTTGTTGTTTCAGGTGTCGATGATTGTACAGCTTTAATAAGCTCGATCAAATTTTTATTTTGCATTTCCATTAAAATTCGCCATGGTCCATCTGATTCATTAGGCAGCGAGCCAGATCCCACTTCTGATGTTGCAGCATTGATATTATTTTCCGACATTGTAATAGCGCAGCGAGTTTCGGTTTTACACGCACGAAATCCTGAACGCAACTACTGGCGTCATCCCTTCCTCTTTCTGTGCTTTCCACCGAACCACACTCGGCGACAGCGGCACAACGCTGTCGCCCCGCTAAAACGGTACTTCTTAAGCGACAACACGCATACAACCAAACAAAGCAGCGACACAACGCTGTCGCCCCGCTAAAACGGTACTTCCTAAGCGACAACACGCATACAACCAAACAAAGCACCGTTAGAGGCCGATGCAATATTACTTTACTGATGAAATTAGTCTTCTGTATACCCATACACTCATACCAACATCCACACACTCTTAGTGTGCGCCGACATATATTTAATTGTTTATTAAAAACATGAAATATCGCTGATGCAGTAAGATCTGCATTGGTTAGAGACTGTACGCATGCACCACACCTCTTAACACAAAGATGCGTAATAGTTTTGTGCGGGTTGTTGCTGTCGCCTGGATCTGTCTTGTTTTTCTTCCAAAGATAACGCCTGTGCTTACAGCGCTGCTCACTGTCGGCGATGTTGGGTGAAGCCATTATTATCGATTGGTTCAAAGGCTGTATTTTTACCTGGAATGATTTGAGCTCTCGATTGAGGAGCAGGTCTTCTGGCAAGCGTCCCATAGTCGAGTATGGTGTGTAATGTTGGCTAAACAGATATTCGGTCATTCTTCTTAAAAAGACTTTTGTGCTTTGAACCGTTCGCTCAGCTTGTCCATTGGCCGCAGGATGAAAAGGTGCCGTTCGGATATTACGAATAGTAGCACGATCTGTAATGGTAATTCGTACGGACTCAAGAAAATTGCTCGTCTCAGCATCTGATTTGTGTGGAAGTTTATCAGTACCTTTGTTTCGGTAAATATGCCTAGAAGCAGGTTATAGTCTGTCATCAAGGTGAATTCACGGCCATAAAGATAGTTATGGAATTTGTTGACGCCGAAAATAAGCGAGACCGCCTTATGAACCGAGAGGTTAAACCGCTCTGCGTTAAACAACGTTTGTGAATAGTGCGCTATTGGTTTGACGATTCCTCCTTTCATTTAGGCCGGCCGTCAAATATGCTCTCCTGCAGCTAGTGTAGCCTAGCTCCAATCCGGTCGCTTTCATAAATTGTTTAAACCTTTATGGGCTTGTTGTTCCCAGTTCGGTGAGACTGATCAGGAAGGGGCAGCCTTTGTGATTCAATCCAGTACTGCATAGAGTCGAGCAGGAATAGAAAAGGTGTTTCACCATGTTTTCTTCCTCCTCTGATAGCATGCATGCCTACAAGCCAGTTGCGTCTAAGATGGGTCACGTGGGGCGTGTGATACGACGGTTATCCCAAATTGATATTACGTAAAGTAGAAAGTGTTATACTACTGCTTGTGTAGATCAAGTTTACGGTATTTGGGGAAACTCCGCATTTCGTTGCTTTCCATTGATTACTGCTGAGCAAGAGTGTTTTCATCTTTGCGCAGATCCCAGATTTGTTGTGGGAATTTACCGGAGAAGATGATGGCAACACCATCCGCATATGTTATGCCCTTGCATTTCCCTCCTTCTAAGTTACAAAGCAGTTTATAGACTCCGATGTTTCACAGCTGAAGAAAAAGTACGCCTCTGTTCACAAACCTGGTGTGGGTCGAGATGTCCTAAGGTGGAAGATACCATTCTGCTTATAAGCAATCTTCTGTTGATATCCACAATTGGGAGTTTAACACCCAGATATGTAACAGATTCTGTTATGACAAGAGATAGTACCTTGTTAAAAGGTTTTCCTTAAAGTTGAGTAACTTTTCAGTTGGTTGACTATTGTTTGTTAAGCTTATTCTGTGGACCTACCCTTTGAGTAGGCATGCTGTCCTGTTGAGATTAGCTTTGGGTCCTAATGTGCAGACCAAAGATCCGCTCAAATTTGTAAGGAAAAAGGATTTCCGACTTATAAGATGTCGCTTGTAAAGCTTTAGTTGCTTGAAAGATAAAGACAACTTTTGTATCCCTCCAGGTGGATGGTATCGCTCTTACCGCCAAAATGTCTAGCTCATATGCTTATATTGCGTTGTTGTTGTTTTTGAATATTGTTTTAAAGTTCTTCGAGATACAGTAATGGGTAAATATTTGGGAATTACTGATTTAATTTCATCAAATTATTAAATAAACATATACAAAAAAATTAACTTCTCCATTTTTTAGGTTTTTTAAAAAATGCTTTTTGAAATAGTAATAACTTAATAGTTCAGAATTACACATTTAATTTTATTCAAATCGGAAAACGATATCATATAGCTGCCATAGGAACGATCCAATAATTGAGACGAAAATCTTCATAGCTTCAATGTTTTTAAACAATACGCAAGTAAATCAAAATTTAAATGTTTTAAAGAACATTTCGTTTCTTAAATAGCTGCAAGTGTATATGAACTTCTTTTGCCAAAGTTTGTTTCCGTTCTTGTTTTATTTTAATCGCGTTGAAGCCTTGAGCAGCCTGTAATGGGGGACGTGATTTTTTGTTCACACTAAGAACCTTAAATTCGTGCGTGGGGAGGTGTGGGTTGTATCGACCCTTTGGAAACCTCTTTGACCTGTGGTGCCCCTTTCTTGTAAAATATTCATTTTTTCAAAATGGTGTTGGTCCGGATAATTCGCACAGTAGTGCTAATCAAGTGATTGCTAGCTTTTGCACGATTGCACGAAAGATGGCAGGTTAAGCAATCGATCGTTCCTGCACCGCTGTTAGAGGTTTGCTTATTGATCTTTCTTATTTTTAAATTTGGCCCCACAAGTTACGGATAAGAGAAAGGTAAGGCAATAAACGGAACAATAGGTTGCAATCTCCCTCTCACCCATAGTTAGTTTTCTACCCGGTCAAACTTACACCCGAGCCCGGGTTCAGATGTGTAGGTGGGGATGGGGGTGAAATGCGGCTCAACAACTCGTGTCGTCCGGTGGTTGTCTGAAAACGGGATCCATCTGACTTACAGTAGTGACAGTAGTTCTTATACTCTTGCGAGGGTATTATTATTTCAGTAAAAAGAAATATATATATATTTTTGATCAGCATCACTAGGATGAAACTTTCCCAAAAGTTCTCTATAGCTCCCTTAGTGAAAGAGTATTTTTGTATAAAGAAAAAACAACCTTCACTTCTTAAGTTCAAAATGTAATCACCACAAAGATCGTATTAAACGGCTCTGGATAGACTTACAAAGTAGCATAAACCGAGTTCGTGAAATCTTAAATATATGATAATAAGAGAAATTCTTTAGCACATAGGGGAAATATATTTAAAAATTATAACTTCGTTGTTTTTCAATTTGTTTGATTATTTTTTGAGATACAGTAAAAGTTAAATTTTCAGAATTACGGTTTCATTTTATTAAAATCAAACGATTATATCAAAAGGCTCCCATAAAACGAATTGGAAAAATATAAAATAAATACAAAAAATCCGTTAAAAATGGTCAACAAATTATTTGTTTCATGCCCGTAGAATACCGACAGTAGTTTTTTATGCTCTCTAAGAAAAGCTTGATGAAGAAAATCGGTTCTTATTTTTTGCAATCCTCTATGCCAATATGGAAAACATGGTTTTGAGAAAATGAAAATAAGGCCCCAGCAACCAGCCATCTTCCATAATTTTTAAGATCGACTTTTCATAATTTGCCAGAATTTTCTTAAAGCACATAATTAAGGATTATGACAATAAAAAAATCGATTTATTGAAACGGCTTTGGGTACCTCACCCTTTAAGAATTAAAGAGTCATAGAGACAAACCCTTTGTTCCGGCCAAAACCTATCATGCTTTTAATTTAAAAGAAAAATAAACAACATAAATGTTTTATAGGTAAAAAACTGTTCTCTTGCCGCCGTTTTTAAAGTTGGGAAGAGCGGAAATTTTTTTTTTCCATAGGAACAATCGTAAAAATAAATTTAAAAAATTATAGCTGCTGTTTTTAAATTTTTTTTTTCTTTTATATATAGTAATGGTAATTTATTTCGGACGACTATATCAAATAATAATTCGGAGCGCACAAAAAAAACAACGACCGTTCGCTTTGAAAGTCAAAGAAACTTGGGCAGCATATGTGTTTTCGATCATATTACGTCTATCGGTAAATCGATTTAAAGACTCAAATTGGGCTATTCTTTTAGAAGTTATTGAGTTAATAAGTCCTCTGCAGTCCGCTGCTCTGCAGGCACAACACTATCACACTAAATTTTGCTAGAAAACTGATAGGTAGTTCAGCATATCGACAAAGTCAGTTTTTCGCGAACCTTCCTTTTTTTTTCTCTCCGTAAGATAGGGATTGACTCAGTGTTTGCGTTGGCGTCTTTTGTTACGTCCCGTTTTTTTCGCAACAACTCCGCAGTAGCCAAGTTATTAATCGCAAGCTGCACTAAAATTATAAATTAATAAAGTAAGTTGTCAACACCATTAATACTTACCAATTGTCTTTTGTAAAAGTAAACATACTATTATAAAACGATTTTGTCGTTGCAGTGCTCCTGGAGCACACAAAATTTTTTAACAGTATTTTCCCAGAAAATGTAATCGATTATATTATAAAATTTAATACTGTGTTGTAAAGATACCTTTGTTAGGATGCTCTCTGGCCGAGGTACAGATCTCAGACAGATCCAGAAGTCCTTTACATTTGTAAATCACCGAAACACCGGACTGAAGAGTTTCATTCAACAAGTGAATGAGTCGTTTGGGGGTCACAGCGAAGGTTCTTATGGATGTCGTCAGAGAGAGTTTACGGAGTTGATCGCATCGTGTCCTGTTCCGGAGTTAAAAATCCAACGGGCTAGAGCGAGGCCGAACCGGGAGGAAAAATTTTGCGGGCGTCTAAGCCTCGTATTAGAGTCGTAAAATTCACCGGGCTAGACCTTCGGGCGAGGCCCAGCCGGGAAAACGTGCGGGTCGTGCATGCACTACGGGGAGGAAAACTAGGGTATTAACCCAGACGGGACGGGTGTCCACTTAAGGGTCGCATGCAATACGAGGAGGAAACTACTGATCAACTACGAATAAAATCACAAACGAGAGATTCCACTTTCACACATTTCTTTATTTTCATAGATTTTATTCATTTAATATCCTCCTACGAGTCCACTTCACCGTCTTTTCTTGAGGGAGAGGAATATTATATACACTAACCCTGGAGCACTTATCAATCCACTTGTTTGTTTTTGTAGCGTGCAGTCGCGCGATCGCGGCGTGGTACCTCGAATTTCACGAAAAATTACCGCGGGAAACGCGTTTGCCCGTGTTACCATTGCTACACAAGAGGCAGGAAACTCTCACGTTGTGTGACCACCTTCCCCAAGCTCGCGTTTACTTAGCTTCGGGATTTGTGGTATATTCCTTACATTCTAGTATTTTCTATGACCATGCTAAACATCGGCTAGCGTTGCCACTCGGGTTTGGAACTTAGCTATGACTTAATGTTCTGTCTCAACTTAATATTTATTATTCATAATATGTCGTTTACGACTACAACCTTACATACTACTAATAATTGTAACGTACACCTTCTAGGTGTGTACGTTACAACTTTAAGCTAAATTCGCCTTTAAACCTGATCAAATCTAAAAAAAAAAACACATCTTAACGAGGTGAAAAAGTCGGGACGATCGCACCTCTAACATACAAGATATCTGATATTAAAATTTTATTACGAAAAATTAACAAGCATTCGACTAAATAAATACACTTTTTAAATGTTCCCAATCGGACCACTTAATTCAGGTATTTTTCCTATACAGGCATTTTTTATCTCAGCGTGCCAAATGGGAACATTTAAAAACTGGATCCACTTCCAATAGCCCCATAATCAATTGAATTATACCGTTTGGATGATATTTAGATTATCTTCTCAAACCCGCAATAATCTTTTTTTATTGGGTTGCTCAGAAATAATTATTGTTCTTCAGTTTTATTATATTTATCAAAAATTAATCATTATTTGTAAGCAAAAAAATATCTCTCAGAAATAATGATCATTTTGCAAACAATATTATTTCGCTTAAAAATATCACTCAAAACTCGATTGCAGCCATTCTATACGGAATTATTACAAGATTGAATGTGTACTTGTAGAGGTTAACCCACGGAGTACATATACATGATATAAAAAGTAGTTGCATTTTTTCAAAATATTTGATTTCATATTAGTTTGCTTAAATTAGGAATAGATTTAAATTTAATTTCTAGAAAATAATTAATATTTTAAAAATATTAAGTGAAAATGTTTCTTCTTTTAACCTGAAACCTTTTTTTTTATAACATTTTCCCCATCAAAATGATGGTGCATACTTTTAGGAGGAAATTCTGGCCAGGGCAGCTTAAACTGCTCTTAACTCTCCTTCTCTCTCATTGCTCTTTTAGTTTTTGTTGCATAATAACTTTTGAAAATATTCATGCAGAACAACTTTTAATACACCAAAAGTTGAAGCTATGTACGTAAAAAGTTAAACAAAAATGGGCTCTAAATATTTTTAAAATTAGCAAAAAGTAAAAAAAAAAATATAAACCAGAATTTTTATTTATGCACAACCACCACAAAGAATTAAAGACACATTTGTTCAGATTATTTTAGATTTTCTTATATGTCTCGTTATTGTCATGCTATTGTTCTCTTGCGATTGATTCTAAGCCAGCAGCGGAGAGGCCAGCCCTTATGTAGCTATGTACATAAGTCAGCGCCAACGGACGGTAGCTGCCGCAGAGATGATGTGTTATGTTCAATTGGTGACAGATCAGTCGCGCATGCCAGACATGCCAACTCGGCTTTTTCAGGTCCCATGTATTCATGTGTGGTTATATTACCGGGTACTTGGGGCATTGCTTAAGACTTATATTGAAATATAAACATTATGGCCAAGTGCTATATTATTTATGCATAACACTGATTACAGTGTGCGTTCGTATGTGACACGGAAAAATTATCATTTTCAGATATACCAAAACAAATGTTTATAGTTACGATCGAACCATCACAGCAGATTTTCAACTCTGCGGCTACATATAGTAGTCTCCTATGCACACGCTCTTGGTGCGCATCGTCAATACATGTGCTGCCGTCTAAAGTGTTCAACAACAAGAAAGGAAGCAAACTTTGGCAAGCCGAAGTTTATATACCCTTGCAGCTATTGCAAGAATTAAATATGATATATTCGTCCGATTTTGATGAAATTTAAACCGTAATTCTGAAATATTTAACCATTATTATACTAATAACTAATAGAAAAATTTAAAAACAGCAAAGTTATAATTTTTTTTGTATTTTTTTCCGATTTTAAACTGTAATTCTGAAATATTTAACTATTACTATATGTTCCGACTTATATACTACCTGCAATAGAAATACAACTTTTGGGAAAGTTTTATGCAGATAGCTTTAAAACTGAGAGACTAGTTTGCGTATCCGTTTCGGACAGACGGACATGGCTAGCGGGACTCGGCTAGTGATGCTGATCAAGAATATATATACTTTATAGGGTCGGAAATGTCCCCTTCACTGCGTTGCAAACTTCTGACTGAAATTATAATACCCTCTGCAAGGGTATAAAAATAAATGGTTACCTTTAAGACCTTTATATATTAAGCTTTCATAAGCACTAACAACTCTTATATCGTCCAATCTATCATTTTACTCAATTGTTTTATTTTTAAATATTACAGGCAGTCTGTTCAAGACATGGCTTGGCTATTGGAGCAAAGACCATATTAATAACGAAAACCGTAATGGCTATTACAGCACCACTCTCTTATCCAGTTTCGCGTATTCTTGATAAGTTGTTAGGGGAAGAAATTGGAAATGTTTACAACCGAGAACGTTTAAAAGAACTGGTTCGAGTGAGTAAATTTTTTTTTTTTTTTGTTTAATCTGATTAATTATTTATATAAATTTATTATTTAGGTTACTAACGATGTAAACGATCTCGATAAAAATGAGGTAAACATCATATCTGGAGCTCTAGAACTACGCAAAAAAACTGTTGCTGATGTAATGACGCATATAAATGATGCTTTTATGCTGTCACTAGATTCATTACTTGATTTTGAAACAGTGTCGGAAATTATGAATTCTGGTTATTCTCGTATTCCGGTATACGATGGCGACAGAAAAAACATTGTGACGTTGCTTTACATCAAAGATTTGGCATTTGTTGATACCGATGATAACACGCCTTTAAAAACGCTATGCGAATTTTACCAAAATCCAGTTCATTTCGTTTTTGAAGACTATACTTTAGACATTATGTTTAATCAATTTAAAGAAGGAACGATAGGGCACATCGCCTTTGTTCACCGCGTAAATAATGAGGGCGATGGAGACCCTTTTTATGAAACTGTCGGCTTAGTTACTTTGGAAGATGTAATTGAAGAATTGATTCAAGCTGAAATCGTCGATGAAACCGATGTTTTTGTTGATAACCGGACAAAAACCAAACGGAACCGATATAAAAAAGCAGACTTTTCTGCGTTTGCTGAACGCCGTGAAGTGCAAACCGTTCGGATTTCTCCTCAATTAACATTGGCTACTTTTCAGTACTTAACCACTGGTAACTTATATTTTAATTTATCAACCCAAAAACTTGACTATAACAAAACGATTTTTAGCTGTCGATGCTTTTAAAAAGGATGTAATTTCGGAACCCATTTTGCGAAGATTACTTAATCAAGACGTTTTTCACAATGTAAAAACAAAAGGAAAAAGTAAGGACGACCCAAGCCTTTATATTTTCACTCAAGGAAAAGCTGTCGACTTTTTTGTACTTATATTGGAGGGTCGAGTGGAAGTAACAATTGGCAAGGAAGCCCTTATGTTTGAAAGTGGCCCTTTCACCTATTTTGGAACACAGGCACTAGTGCCAAATGTTGTCATCGGTGAGTTTTTAAATTTAAATATTCTTTCAATTTTAAGTAGAATGAAAGTCGGAACGTGCTAAACCTGCCGACTTTATAATATAGTTCCCCAAGAAACAATCGGAAAAATAAAATTAAAAAAATATAATAACTATGCATACGCAGTGCCAGTTTATTTTAAAATGTGACAACGCCCATATAACATACACCGTCCAATATCCGACCTATCAGTTTTTTTTTGTGGAATTTTCTCTCCTAGGGGACTGACAAGTTATAAAATCTTAAATATATAAATTTACTTGATGCCCATTAAAATTATCATTCGGTTTAATTGTGGCTTAATAGTTACCAGGCTACAATTTGTTTACGGAATGTTTAGATCGCTCCAGGGCTATGCGGATATAGTTCCTAGCACTTTCGACTGTGGTCTTTGAATCAGCTCTATATTACTGTGTTGCTATATGTCTAAACAGTGTTGTAGTGTCTTACTCTAACCGAAGTGGAGTCGGGACTTATGTTTTATTTGTTCACACTTCGCTTCTATGTATTTCCTCCGAGATATACGACTTATTTTGTAGATGGTATCAATATGTTGTTAATTGATAATTGTGGACCATTTTTTTTGTTAAATAATCACTCGTTCACTCTTATACGTGAATAAGATAACCATTTCTACAATGGGGTAGGTGAGCAGCTAATAATGATGATGCCGTAAGTGGACATTTTGAGCAACTTAAGGTGTTCATGGGTATATCTGCCGTGTATAGGAAGTAAAGACTGTGTCCGAGGACGCTGCCTTGTGCCTTGTGGAAAGTGACCAAATTTATTAATGGTGAACTGATATACTTTTATATTTTAGCGAATTAATTTTTTTTTTGGTTAAGAATAAGTGGTCAGATGACAAGTAAGATAGACTTTCTGCATCTTTGATTCCTATATTATATTTTGCTGTTTATTTAATTTAATTTAATTTATTTGTTTTGCTATCCCAGACTACGTCTTTTCAGATTCATCGATCACTTTGTGATTGTTACCTTAAAACTTAAATACTCTGAGAATCGTACAATAAAACTTAAATACTAGAAGTACAATTACATTAAATTACGTTACAATAACAATACTCATTTTAACATTTACAGATTAATACATTTACTAGGTTTTGGTGATATGGGTAACATAAAGAAATGAATGAAACAAAAGGAGATTAACATTAAAAACAATAAATTAAAATATAAGTAATATAAGTATTTAAATTAGCTTCTGCCCTTTAAAAAGTTCGCTTTTAAAGTTGTTTGGGAGGTTATTCCAACAGCCTGTATGAAAAAGTGTTTTTCCGTCATCGCCAATTTTAATCTTTTGCAGACAATGTTGTTTGTTCTAGCAGACGAAGCCAGTTGCTTATGTTCAATTAAGTACTGCGACTCTTTTTTAGTCAGAAGTTTATGCAGAAATAAGATGTTTTTTAACTTAATCCATGACTCAAGGCTTAGTTCAAAAATTTTATTTGAGTAACATGTTATGTGCGCCCTGCGGTTTAAATTAAAAAAATATCGCGCAATTGAGTTGAAGGCAACTTTTAGTGTTCTCATGCTTATGGCGTCACAGGAACCAAATACTTCAATACCGTAAAACAACGTTGGAATTATGCAGGTTTTCGCTACAAGCATCCTGATATTCTGTGGTATAAGGTTTCTGGATATGGAAAGCTGGCTGAGCATGCCATATGCTTCACATGCTCATCCCAAGTTAAGGTGGAATTAATTTCTATTCCCAGATTTGTGGCTCGTTTAACAAACTCTATTACAATATTTTTTACCTCAATCTTTGGAAGACAGCTAGAGTCAATTGATTTTTTATGAATTAGTATGCATTTTGACTTGGATGGATTGAGCCTTAACCCGATCGCATCAGCCGAATCATTTATTTGTTTAATTTCATTGTTGCTAATTCTAATACACTCACTAATTTGACTTAGGGGACGGCTAATATATAACATCATCTGCACATCACATACAGAAATACATTTAGGGAGATCATTTAAATATAACGAGAAAAGCTGTGGACCTAAAACTGAGCCTTGTGGGACTCCTTGTGTAAGAGGCAGAAAGGAAGATTTTAGCGACCCGGATACGACGGTCTGCACCTTGTTTGTGAGATATGTTCGGATGAGGTTTGAAGATAAATTGTACAGTGTGCGAATCTTTGTGCAGAGTATTTCGTGGTTTATCGAGTCAAATGCTTCGCTAAAGTCAAGAAGTGTTAGGAGGGTTACTTTGCTGTCATCGATTTTTTAGCGAATGTCTTCGGATATCTTTAAAATGGCAGTTGTACAACTTCTTTGTTTTTTTGAAACCTGATTGCTTACAACTTAGAAGATTATTGTTCTCCAGGTGAGTATGCATCTGCAGGGCAACTAATTGCCCAAAAGACTTTGCAAGGAAAGGCAATATTGAAATTGGTCTAAATTCATTTTTAGAGTTCGGGACGGGCAAAATTTTAGCAATTTTCCAGCAATCAGGAAACATTGACGTGGTAAAAACTGTATTAAAAATATGGGTAATATAACAAATGAGTTTTGGGAGCAACATTTTCATAAATTTGGAACTAACATTATCTAGACCTTCTGCATTTGATTTTACTTTAAGTATTCATTCAAGGACATCACATGGATGTACACACATAAAGCTAAAAATAATATCACAGGATGTTCTTGAGTTCAGGTACAAATTATGTGTAGGAATGACGGAAGGAACCACTGAAAATTTCTTATTAAGGGCGTCTACATCAATCTACGTCATAGCATTTTGTTTTTCTATGCCTAGGCTTCTCAAATCCTTCCAAACTTGACCAGGAGTCTCTGCATTAGCAAATTTATCATTATAAAATCTACGTTTGGAGGAAGAGATCGAGTTTGTGACTAAGTTTCTCAGTCGTTTAAAAATTATGTGCAGGCTTTCAGTTTTATACCTTTTCCAGCGTTTGTAGGCATTATCCCGCAGGCGAATTTGTTTATTTAATTTCCAAATTAAACCATGGCTGTACGGCAGGTGTTTGTGTTTTTGTTCTCTATGGAACACAGTGTTCAAATAACCGCTGAATGTTGGAGTTAAATAACAGAAGTTGATCCTGTGGCGAAGTCAAGTCATAAATATTTGTCCAGTCATAATTGTCAAATTCAGTAAGTAGGTTGTTGAGATTGTTTGATTTAAAGTGTTGAATTGTCAGAAATAAAATCATGTGTCATAAATATCAAGTCATGTTTAGAGAACGCTGGCACATACAACTAGTCATAGAGAAGGATTTTTGACGGTTCACTAACAGAGAGCTACAGGTACTTGTGAAATGCGTAGGTAGTTGGCAGCTTACCAAGCTTTGGCCTAGAGAGTTAAAGTCATTTCGTACACTTTGTTCTCTGATCATATTGTTGTTAAGATCTCCAGCCAGGATTACGTTTTCGTACGCCACAGATATGTCTGATACGGACTCTAAGAGATCAGTATATTCGGTCATTCGATGGGGTCTATAAATACAACAAATTAACATTTTTGACTTGAAACTAGGATCTACGACTTCCAGAAACAAATATTCAACTCTACGTAGCCATCAGATTCAAAAGGGACGTCACTGTAGCCACTTACAAACCATGTTTCTGAAACACACACTATATCAACATTTGATCCTACAAAAAATTCCCTAAACTCATCGATTTTTCTGACAAAACTTTGAGCATTTATGTGGACAATCTTCAGACCAACTTTTTGTTTACACAGAATTCTCAGCAGACTGCTCGCTGTTGCATTATTTGTACTGACCTGCATTATAATAAGGTAAGGTAAAATGGGAAACGCACATATGAATTGAGAAGGCACAAGCTAGATTTGAACGAAAAAAGATTACTATTTTGGGCAGAACGAGGGGTAACTTCGGCAACCAGTGCGCTGGATCCAGAGGGGGAAGAGCAGACTCAGCAGCCGTGATCGCTGGGAGCTCATCAAGCTGCCGGATAATGTAAATGTCTCCTCTGACACTGCACTTCACGTGCACAATTCCACGGCGCGTAAAAACAGCAGTAAGAGATTTCTGCTGTTTCAAACGCATGGCTTCTTTAAATATAAGGAAATTATCTCTCGAGAGCTGCTCATTAACGTAGAGAGCGGCCGGCGAGTCAAAGCCCAACAGGTTTATGCTCAGTGGCTGTTTTGTTGTTCGTCGGAAATCAGCCAGTGCGCGAAGAAGGGAAACTTTTTCCCTAGTAGTTTCCAATTTTATCAGAATTGGCGGGTCAACTAGTGAATTTTGCAATTTTTCGGACCCTAAAAAGGAGGAGTCGGAACAAGGTTTGCCGCAAGGCAGAGCTTGTTAAACAGCGGCCTTAGTTTCTCTCCTTCCACAAAAGGAACGCCATGCATACACAGTGCGCACGCCTCGCTTTCGGCACGCTGTGCGTCAAGCTTACCTTGCACCGTGCCAATTTGGGATTTTAGGGAGCGCAGCTCATCAACCTCCTGTTGCTCCAGCTGCAACATACGATCGGCCATCTGCTTCATCTCCGTGGTGACACCCAAGAGCCGTTCCTGCAGCACCTCAAGCATCCTCTCCTCGACCTCACGGATGGTAGACTTGATCAGCTGGGCCTGTTCATCGAAACGGCTATTCATTGCCGCGATAACCATTGGTGAGGCAGTGTCATTGGCAGCGTCAGAGGGTTACCGAGTTACCGCTGATGTCTTCCCGATGACATCACCTCCACCCAAAACCCCCTCGGGCATTGTCCCACTAACGGCGATGCCGTTCAACCCGGACATAGGATCGCCAACGCAGCGGTTTCTGGATGCCGGATCGTGTAAACAACTGGGTCTCGGGCATCCGGCCGAAACCGCTGACCTAGGAGATTTCGCAAACTCAACATATGTACCCCACCCGCAAACGAAGCTCTCATTGTACTTGAAACCAGAAATAAAAATCAGTCTTAGAGCGACACTTGGAAGTATAAGTCTTTCATTCTCGAAACCTCCTAACTC